AGCAAAGGGGCCTGAGGAGTTTTGCCAGTGATGCCTGATTTGGGACTCCACTGGTTTTGAAGCGAAGTTAATAATAAAGTACAGCAGTTTTGTTAAGCAGAGCTGTTTCTTTTGTTACTCTTCTGGATTCCAGCTGTATACTCTTTGTAACTCTTCAACCACTAGCAGGAAGGAGGTTGAAGAGGACTTCTGATGTTTAGAGGGTGGAGTAACTTAGGGCTGAGTGATGTTAACTGTTTGCCTCTCTGTTTTAGAGCTTATCTCACTGTGAATTGATCACTGATGATGGGATTCTTCATCTGAGCAACAGTACGTGTGGTCACGAGAGGCTGCAGGTACTGGAGCTTGATAACTGTCTCCTCATCACTGACGTGACTCTGGAACACCTGGAGAACTGCCACAACTTGGAGAGAATTGAGCTGTACGACTGTCAGCAAGTCACGCGAGCTGGCATCAAACGAATCAGAGTACGTGTTTGCTGACTTGAGCTGTTGGGAATGCGCGAGGTGTTGGGAATGCGCGAGATGGTGTGAATCCTGCAGCGTCCCAGGGGAGGGAGGATGGAAAAAGAGAGTCTGGGCAGCGTTCTGTTAGGTCCCCACCTCTAGGGAGTAAACATAGCTTTTCTGTATGAGCAGTAATAGTTGTCTAATGCTGTTTATAACTCATGACACTTTGGCTGTTGGAAAGATGAGTGCTTATCTTCTGCTTTCGGTATTTTTTTCAAATACAGGCTTCTGTGTTTTCAGGATTGTGTAGTGGCATTCTCTAACTCTCCTAGAATATATGTTAATGTACAGAGCCAATAGTAAAACATCTGCAGGGAGATTTCTGTTAATGGGTTGTAGGGCCATTAGGCCCCGGAATCCAGCCACAGACTTTTCCTCTGTGCACCCCCCCATTCGGTCGGGGACCCCCCACCTTTGGGGGGAGGCAGCCTTTTAGCCTTACTGTGGAACTTGTCTGCAGCTTCATATCCCAGATTTGTGTCCAAACACCTTTGCAGTTGGAAAGCGCATCCCCCATCGTGACTGTTGAGGGCAGATGGCCGGTTTTATTCCATGTGGCTTTCTAGGATGAGGGGAGACAAGCTACGGCCTCGGCTGTCCGCAGCAGCCAGGGCTGGGTCTCTCCCTGCAGCCGGACGCCGGCCTCTCCTGGCCGAGCCCTCTGGGCCAGCTGGGGCTTTGCTGGGGCATAAGTGGGAGCGCTGAGCAGGTGGGTGCCCAGGCCTTCGGAGTCTGCATCAGGAGAGAACAGCTTGGATCCTATCAAGTGTCTAGATGCTTTCTTTTTAGCTAACTAACCTTAACGAGAGCCCACTTGTTGGCAGTGATGGAGGCGTACTGCTGCTGTTTGCTGCTGATGTTTATTTCTCTCCCATTCTAACGCAGACTTTTCATCCACAGGCTCACCTACCTCATGTGAAAGTTCATGCTTACTTTGCTCCAGTAACTCCCCCTCCTTCGGTGGGAGGGAGCGGGCAGCGCCTCTGCAGATGCTGTATTATTCTTTGACAGTAAGTGCAAACACACAGAAAAATTTGTTGTTGTTGTCGAAGAAAAGAGTGGGACTGCAAGTCAGTGGAAGGAGTCGGTTTCCTGACAGTCCTAATGGTGGTGTTTGTTTGGACATCCAGTCTTGTGACAAGAAAAGCATTGTTTTTTTTTCTGGGTAAAAATCTTAATGTAATTGTGCAGCTGTGGATTAAGTTGGTGATGCTTCGGTTTGTATTAGTAACTCCTTCCTTCTGTTGGCATGAGAACTGAAGTACCGTGTCAGATGTGTAGGTGTTTCGGCATAGCAGCTACTTGGTGAAAGCTCACTAAACCTGGAAGTTAATTTTGCATTTGTGTGAGTTCTAACGTAACGTGGGGCTTAAGTCCGTCACACCGAGGAACTGAACCTGCTGTTCTGTGACATACATGACAGATTAAAGATCAGGTTTAAGGACAAATCAGCTTTAGCAGATGTTGACCAAAAAATGCAAGGTGATCATGAGCTCTTACGGCAAAACAGCTTGTACTTTTTCATGATTCAGCTTCGTATTTAATTACCTAACAAACAGGCCATCATAGGTAATGTCATAAAGGTAAGATAGTACCTCAAGCTAACGACATCAATAGAAATACTTTCCAAGTTTTTGAATTTGGTTCAGTTGAGCTGTGTTAGTTTAAAGCTTGCCTGTTACTGAAGCACGTTTTCTGCCCAACACCATCAGCCTTTAAATGGGGCAGGAAATCCCGGGGGGTAGAGCTTGTGCCCTCCACGGCAACAGCTGCCACAGCCAGGCACGGGGCTCGCTCGAACGCCTTTCCTGCGTCTCCTCCGCGGGTCAGGGAAGGATGCGGATTCGAGGCGGAGTGGGGAATTCCTCGTGCTTTTCTACAGGTGAGGAATGGAAACCAGGTTTGGTTACAGGAGCAATGATGGGAGTGAGGAATTCAAGCTGTTTGTCCCACCCATGCCAGGGACGCAGCAAAGAGACGGGCGAAGCAAGCTGTAGGCAGGGGGGTGAACCAAACCTGCGGTTTTTGCGTGTGGAAAGCCAAACTCTTCCCATTTGGGTTATTTAAGAAGCTGTCAACTTCTGAATGATGATAATAAAACCTATGTATTAACTCTTAAGGCCATGCTTTCATCCTTAGTCTTTCAGTGCTAGAGGGTTAGAAAAAATAAACTTTTTTATATTAAGCAACTTAATTATCTGAGATAGCTAAACTAGTCAACAGTTCAGAGAGCTTTTTTGTGTGAGGTTGATTGTGTGTGTGTTTGTTTTAAGAGTTCGGGGCCTTGTGCGTTTACTGAAAACTGGCAAGAAAAACTGGCTTAAAAAGCAGTTGGGGAGGCTGCTGCTGGACAGTACTGCAACCTCCCCCCGGATTTTAAGGTACTTCCTACAAGGAGGGGTGAACAGTAAGGGACTTTTCTGGATAACAGCAGCTGGCACAGACGATGGGGACGGTAACGGAAGCCCTCGACGCTGAGGTTAAATTACAGGTGAGAGCGCAGCACGTGCATTTCTGTACTGTGACGACCTACAGCAGCCAGGGCCTGGTTTGCCCCGCAGCGGAGCAGCGCTGGTGGTCGGCCTTGGAGTTCCACGAAGATCCTGCTGGCATGGAGAGTTTTCAGCAGATTTTATTCTCGGCTGTACCAGGAAGGTCCTTGGTACCAGTATGCCAAGATACGTTGCCTTTTGTCAGCTCATTTTTTTCTAAGAACATAATGAACCTTGTAAGTCTATTGCATTGAAGATGTACACAACCAAATGGAACCTACTCCGATATAGGACACTTAAATAAATAAACAATCAGCTGATGTGAAGTTTGAATTTGTTTCAATTATTTCAAGTTTAACTCCATTTTCTATTAGAAGCAGAAGCGTTGGGTGCAGGATAAACTGCAGAGCTGGTCTGCTGCCGTGACTTACCTTTACCTACCTTTAGTGCTAGGGGAAGGTCGTGCAGTTACTCTGAACCTTAACAACAGAAATCTCTCTAGTGTGAGGGTGTGTGTAGGGGCAAAGTAAACGAAAAGAAAAGCACATTTACAAAATTATTGAAAAACATTTATTATACTTAAATTGAAATGTGTACATCTTATTAAAAAACAAAAGCAATTTGCTGGTGCCATAATTTAATTCCAATTTCAAGTGAGCTGGACAAACTACTGTACAACTTTCAATATTCTTTAAAATTAGATATTTGGATACTTTCCAATCAAGGATTTTTCCACTTGTTTTATAAAACATTTGGATTTGAATATGGTGTGAGCTGAAAAGACACAAGTGTCAGTTCAAGAAAATACTAGGACCAAACAATACCCAGAGATGAACAACTTATAGGCAGAAATGTTTTAAGTACACAAAACTTTGTTTGGTGCAGAAAAAATAAAAATAGGAAAAAAACCTCTAGCTTTGATGAATTTAAAATTTCAAAATGCTACAGCTTTAAGAAGCTTTTCTGCTAAGCACTTGCGCCAGTTACGAGAGAGGGAATGAGAAAAATAGAAAAATCAAACTTGCTTTTTTACATGCTGTAGTAGTTGCCTGCGTGGAACACTGCAGCATAAAGCGCCAACTATTCCCAAGCTTTTAAGCCAGAGATCAAGGTGGAACTTTCCAAAGGCACAAAATGACAGCTACGCAACTGTCACTTCAGACCTGCTGAAATATTCCCCTCCAGGTACCTAACCAGGTGAAACTTAACAGGAAATGCCGTGCCACGTCTTTACCAGAAATACCCAAAATATTGAAAAAGCACACTGCCTGTTTCAAAGAAAAGTCAACATTTGGTCACGGGGAAGAGGCACTGTAGCAGTTGCACAGTAGGGCTGGGAGGGTGAGGAACGGTCAACGAAAAAGGTACCAAAGATCCTTGTCCGTAATAGCAACTACAGGAAGGCATTTACCTGCGGGGAAGGAGACTGCGCTGGTGTGTACTTAGTGTTTCTAAAGCGCTTTATCTGATGTTGCTGAAAGCCGACAGCGCCGTGGTGCCAGTGGGTCATCTTCCCTCGTCAGCATCATCTCACTACATCATAAAAATCCACCTCTCACTGCTAGTATTTTTTAAACCCACAATTTTACAAGCAAAGAGTTAAACTGCAGCAGTGCTCCGCAGAGAACCTAGGAAACTAAACATAAAGGATGCATAGGCAATTCTCTTTCATTAAATTTGTTAAAGCAAAACACAATTACTTGGTACCCCATAGGATTTATATTAATCCCTCCAATAAGGTACTATGGATAATGCAGTTCGCTGCATGCATATATTGCATCTGTCTAGGGCTTCTTAAACGCCCTGTTCTGGCATTTACACTTCTTACATACACTCTTATACACAATTTACACGGGAAGCTGTTTTGACAGCTTTACTCTCAAAGATCGGACAACCTGATCACCATCGACTTAACTCTCTCAAAGACCCAACAACCTGATCACTTGTCAGCTTAACTACGCCTCTCCACACAGATTAATATGTGCTCTGCTAACATCAGAAAATAAAACCAGCATAAGGTACAAGCAAGTAACAGACAAACTGGCACAGAAAGGTAAATGCCCCAGAGTAAGTTTACATTCATCTCCAACTGGATACAGGTAGAGAAAAGCAAGAGCGCTTCGCTTCTAGGAACTGTATCTACTGGCCATAATTTGCCTCATTTCAGACAAGGGCAAGCACCTTTGCTTACATTGTCTTCCGTGCCTGTACGTAAGCTGTCCTGGCGTCACACCTCTCATGAGGACACTTCGCTATGGCAGTGATAAGAAAGTTCACCTCTCAAACAGCTCATTAGAAAGGTCATTTTGTGTTTTCAATATGAAACATCTTATACGGTGAAGTTAGATCCTAAGGTTTTGGATGATCTTCGCAATCTTTAGGCAGGACTTTGTTCTGCGTTGGAGTATCAGTCTAGCAATCGTGTGACATCACTTCAAAATTATATGGAAGCCTTCACCATTTTCAGCTGAAAAAGAAAAAAAAAGTGTCAGTCTTTCACAAAGAGAACCATAAATACACAAGCCAGTGCATGAAACACCAACATATGGACTTGGTTTTTACTGTGTAGGAGTGGTTTGTTACTACTACGAAATATGAAACTTGAAAGATGTGAAATATCAGTAGCTTGCTATTTGGACTAAACGCTTGAAGAATAACTGACTGTTCAAGATCCCTTTGGTTTACAGTTATTTCTGAACTCTTCCTCTGACACATTAATCCCACCTCCTTTGACAGTTAGTATCATAGAGAGAAGTTAACTTCTGCAAGACCAATGTAAACCCTCGGTGTAGGTTTCTAACAATCTATCTTGTGATGCTCAGCCTTAAACTAGAAAGCCAAATAGAAACAGTGTTAAAAAAACCAGACAAAACCACAAACCCTGTGGCTTTGATGCTTAGAAGCCAGCAGTACCACCAAAAGGCTTAACAACGGAGACAAACAGTTCTCCAACAATCACTAACGACATGAATAGATTTTATACCACACAGAACAGTTAGTTTCAAGTTAGGATGCTGATAAAGTGAAGCAGACCTTAAAAACACAGCTCATCTACAGCACAAATACAGCTTTTAAAAGTTTCCTAAAAGACACAAAACCCAAAAACATTATGGATAATTGGATCTCCAAAGTTGGGGCAGTTTCTGTAGGGAACATCTGCATGGAGTCAAACTTGTCCACCGATCACAGCAATTTCCTGGCACCTTTCCCCAGAAATGGACTGCTGAGCGAGCCTGGGACTCCCCTGGAACACCTCCTGTTCTGGAGGGAGACTCGCCACACGCCTTGAGGAAACCTGAACAACCACCGTGGCGGACTACGGCTGGCTGCATCCCAGGATAATTGCGTGCGTACGGTTACAACGGTTCCACCCGTCTGACAGCACGGGGGGGTCGCTCTGCGGATGCTCCCCTTGAAGCCCAGCGGGTGCTGCCGACAGCGGCATCCCAGGCGCCAGCCTGGCAGAGGAAAGGCGCGGTAGCCTGCCCAGCGAAACGGCCACGGCCTCGCTACAGCCACAACCCACTGACCATGATTATTTACCCGCAAGGAAAGAAAAGAATTTTATACTCGGTTCTGCCAACGATCAGGACTCACTGAACATTTGGTTTCTGAACCCCAGAGGTACTATTGCCAGGATTATTTTATTATTTTTTTTTAAATTATTTTGAAACTTCACCATTCTCCACACTCATTAACAGCAAGCTCTGTTCAGTGACGGCTGACAATTTTAAATGAGATTTGTTACTGAGTGCTGGTTCTGACCTGAAAGCCTGGAGAAGAGCCTGAGGCGCTGCATAAAGCCAGAAGGGTCTGGCTGAGAGAGGAGGAACCCACGGGGGGTTTTCTGCCACTACTGTAGGCAGATTTTTTTTTTTTCCCCCCCGAGTCAGCCTTCACTAGATCTGCCATTACTCTTTCCTTGGAAAAGTTTTACTAGAAGAGCATTCCACTTTAAAGAAGGCTCTTTTGTAGAATAAACAATTATGTTTTCAATTGTCAGAAAAGACACTGTACCTTTTATTGTGGTGAATAAGAAACAACTCTCATCTTGAAAATTTTGAACCATCTACAAAAAAAAAAAGTTTTGAAACCCTCCTGAACATGACCAATGCAAAAAATTAATACATCAGATATTAAACACAGTCTTTTATAAGCAATTGCATATTTTTGGTTCTATTCACAAGTAACAAGCATATACCAAATTAAATTAAAATACATTACTGTCAAAATACTGCTTGTTAATCATGCGACAACCAGTTGGGAGCCTGTTGGAGTTCGCTGTGTTTTTTGAACTCTCAGTATGTGTAACAGATGCTTGAATAAGCAGAGTTCAACAATATTTAAATGCTCCCTGCCTTTGGGCATGTTCAAAATAAATACATAATTACTGCAGCATCTCAGAAATATACAGATCAGTTGCCTTTCTCTCCTCATAACTTGAATTTATTCAGGTAGAGGAAGAGTGACATTTAAAGGATCCTTCTGCTCATTTTAACGTAAATGAAAAAATACTCTAAGTATCAGAAAACACCAGGTTGCATTATCAAAACAGGAAAAATGAATATGAATATTCAAAAACATGAATAAAATTTGTCAAGAAAATAAATTTTCCATTACCTGATCACTAACAAGGATGTGGATACCTGTGGGACCCTGTCTGTAAACTTGGTTGATTTGATGCAAAGGAATATTAAATGCCAAAGCAAGCTTGCGCGTGACTTCTGAGGCTGCCATTTCTTCTAAGTAGATTGCATGATAAACTACAAAAAAAAAAAAATTATTTCCATAAGCATAGTACTAACTGATAACAAGTAAATATGAAAAAAATCTTACACCCCAGTTTTAAAAAAAGTCTTAAAAGCTAAAAACCTTTACTTTACTCTCCCTCTGTTCTCACGAAGAACCATGAACTGCCTGACTCTTCTTTCAAGGCAAAGTCATAAGCACAACTCTCTGACAAGGGGAGGCTTCTATTCGCTCTGATACTGAAGGCAACTTCCACGTTTTTTTCCTGTATCCTGCACAAAAACGCAGTTGCAAACAGACTTAAATGGCTCTTCAGAGAATCACCTGAAGATGACTTTGGAAGTAGTTTTGGACCGTCTCAAAAGAAGCGGGTAATACACTGGACTTACATGTCCATAATACATACATCGACTGCTACCCTGTTGCTTAAAATAGGATGTAGATTTTGGTGTTGGGAAAGACAGTCTTTCTCGACTGGCTGAATAGATTTCCTACAGATCATCTCAGAGCTGAAGGGTGGAGGGGTAGAAAATACACCACAGTGAACAAACAGAACAGTAAGACAAAGTAGCTGTTCAGTTTGATGCTGTATTGACAGTGGTATAGTTTTATTTAATGGTGCTAGAAGCCCTTGGCAGCTCCCTGTTCGCACATTCTTCCCTCCCAAACCAAAGACTGAAGGTATCCAGAGGACACATGTGTACTTGACAGAGACAGTATCCTATTTACAGATCCTCCTCCACCTCAAGCCTTGCATGGAAGACACAAAACTACTACTACAGCAGCAGCCTATACAGATTTCAGTTGGTTGGAGAGCAAGGTCTCTTCACTCAAAGCCAAGAGCAAAAAAAGAATCCTTTCAAATAGTTCCATTCTCTAATTGTAAGATTGACATGAATGTACAATTAAATATTAAGCTCCCATCTGTGTTGAAAGAACAGCTGTCTATCAGGAAAATAATACTAAAATCCTGAGCCCATACACTGCTTGGCTGTTTTCCTTGCCCAAGCTCTACCACTTCTAGTTCAGTTGCACAGAAAATGACAGCAAAACTTAACAGAAAATGGGAAAGAATTAAAGTTTTATTTGCACATGGCTTTTACGTGCACCTACATTTTTCTGGTTAATACCTTGTCTGCAACAACACAGCACGGCTAATTTGAGAACTCCTTAATTAATTACCATGTAACTACAGTTAGTTTTATCTACAGACTGAAAAAAAAAAAAACACAACAAAAAAAAACCCAAAAAACCAGTGATTTACCCTCGAGAGGTTTTAAGGTTCTGTTCATCCCTTGCAGTGTTTTAACAGCAATGTCATCGTGAATACAACACCCTACAGTCTCTCTGTACACCAGAAACACAAATTCAGCCTCTTCACTATTCTTTTTTCCTTCCCATCTACCTTGGTCTAGACTTTTTAAGACACAGAAATGGTATGCTGAGACTCCTACGCGCCATACCGTATATTGCACCGTTGCTGCTATCGCCATTGCCTGCATCTTGTCTTTCCAGTTGTATGCTCCTTAATGGCTCCTGACAGACGTAGATTGTTAAACGAGGCCTAACAGACCTGCAGTTCAAAGAAATCGCCCATCAGAGAAAAGGTTACTTGCCCTGGAAATACAGAAGCTGACAGGCTACAAATGTACGTTGGTTATGCTAATAGCACACTTGAAATGTTTTCTTTCACTGACTAAAAAAAAAAAGAAAAATTAATAGAATGGTAAGCGGTCGCTCAGATGCTACTGCACTTAAACAAAATCTCAGTCAATTCCGAGTTCATCACGATGCTGCTTGTTGGAATCCTGGACCGTAACTACTGAGTAAGGAGGACAACTCTTAGGAAGGTCAATGGTACCAAATGCCCCCTTCAGTCAGAAGCAGACCCATCAGCTGGGATGCTGTGTTAGCACTCAAGGCTTGTCACCTCAGAAAGCCTCAGGGTGTTCTTAGCTCCCCTAAACGAGAAGTTTTGGGTCTTGGCAACAAATCCATCTGTTGCCCAGAAACAGGCGGTGCCCGACTGCTCTGGTACCAGTCTCAGGGCCTGCCTGTGAACTGGGCAGTGCCTGCATCTCCTCTGGGATCTGGCCTGAGGGGTACGAAGGCAGGAGGTTCTTTTAAAACACATCGCTGCCAATTCCCGAGACAGCTCTCACAGGCATCGAGGCCCACCCTGACACTGACTTCCCAGATCTCCCAGGTCTAAGGCCGGGGGATTCTAGTCCACGACAGAACAATCCCCACCCAATCTCACGTTCAACACATTACCTGGATTTCAGTGCATTATATAGCCGAATTCCATCGGCTGGACCACAGATTTGTACCAGATCTTCTCTTGTCAGCTTTAATAAATCAGCACCTGGAGAAACACATGAGGATTTTACGAAGATTATTTTAGAACATCTACACTTGTTAAAATGAATTGTATCTTCATTTAAACCAAGAATAACAAACACCACCATTATAAAAATGGAATCCTGCAAACACGAAAAAGCAAGCAGAATTCAGAATAGGCACTAGCTAGCACTAAGACAAAACAACCCATTTTCCCAAGGTGGTTAGTTCCACCTGACGGTGTTCACATCTCTGAACAAGTACAAGGTCTGCAAGACACACAAGTTCTGCAGAGACAGATGACTGTTCTATATCCAGACAAAGGGCTTAAAAGTTTTAACTGACGCCCAGGTTAGTGTATTTTGAACACAGGCAAAATGCAGACCAAAGCTATTGGGTGGTTTCTCACTCAATGAATCATCCCAGGCATTCAACTAATACATCATATCCTCGATGCACTTAAGTTATTACAGTGCACTCTGTACTTCATATACTACAACTAAATCCAACTCCTACGAAAAGATCTAACATGGGGCAGTTGTTAGCAATTTCTTGCACTTTCTTTGAGATCACTGCACACCGGCTGCCACTGGGAAACAGCATAGCAAAACAAGACAGCCTGCAGGTCTGCCTCACCAAATTTGTTCATTTTTCTCAAAGGACTAATCAAGGTTAAAATGATTTTGTGAACTATCATCAAGAAAAAAGAACCTAGCGTCACTTTTGGGTGGTAGGATGAATTTGTACAAACTAGAAAGAAATACCTTCCAACGCAAATTGAACATTTAATAAGTAAATTAGTAAATTACAATAAATATCTAATGCCATATTGTTTTTAGAGAATTATTTTCCTACACAAAACTTGCTCACTAACACAAAGAAACACTAAATAAAAACAATAAACTATAGATACCTGAGAAATTTGAAAAAAGCCTTGTATAGGTAGAGAACCTATGCTTGAGCAACCATTGTTGAGTTTCCTGAATTGTGGCTGAAGGATGAAGCTGCTGTAAGAAACAAGACAGGACATGGTAATTTGGGTATTAAAAAAAATCCAAAGCCATTAAAAAAAATAATCTCCCTCAGTACCTATTAATACCAAGGTATGTATAAACCAAATGTCCTGACACAAACATAGCCATGACCAATACCACAAAGCAAACACTCACATCTCCAGACCCTTGAGAGGTTCCATCTCCTTGATGATTTGGGGAGGAAGAATTGCTACAGATTTTTAAAAAAAAAAAAGTAGTAGTATTAGAATTTTATTAAGCAAAATATTTAAGCATGCTGAAAAATAACTTAAAATTCCCAAAACAATAAATGTCACTGTTTAAAAAGAAATTAAATGCTGCACAGAGTGAAACTTAAGTTGAACTCAAGAGAGAGATCATCACACTTCTATATGCAAGTAATCTGGTTCCTATTCTGTGCATTCTTTATCAACTGGAGAAGCAGCTTTACCACCACTCATGGGAGGTTGTATGGCCACTGAACTGTCTTAAAGGGTGACTGAGGAAGGGGTAGTAAAATACAATGCAGACAAAAGTATACAGACTAGACAATACCACTGTAAATCATTCCTTCATCACCCAAGTTTGATTACAGTAGTTTAATTAATGCCTCAACACTAAATGTTTTTACCAATACAATTCCTGTTGAAAAGCTTGTAAAAATTATTGTTGAGTTTTTTTCTTGCAAATTATATTAATTGTGTATGAGGAGAATGAAGATTGTTCTTACTGAAAAAAGCTAAATAGTTTGCATAGACAAGGACTAAATTAGAATAGTTAAAAGGTAAAGTATTCGCTGTATGACAAAGGATAAGACGACAAGTTTTCAGCCATGGATAGTAAGAAAGAAAAATGTTGAAGCAGAAGCAATTACACTATAATTGAATCACTTGATGCAAGTGTCAAACTCTAAAATAAATATATAGGTCAAAACAATCTCTCATTCCCCAGTGGCACCAGAAAACAGTTGCATTTACTCAGAAAACACTTTTGAATAAGCCTGATTTTAAAATGTTATCTTCAATTAGGGTACAAAAAAGAAACCCACCTGTCTGGGACACTGTAGGTATTATGTTGAGCAGAGGTAAAAGTTGGAGCAGGAGTAGGACTGTTGTTTACAAATGTTGTAGGAGTATCAGGCCATGGTGAGCACTGAAGATAAAGAATTAAAATTTAAGTTTCTCTTGACAATACATTTTTTTACTCTGATACACATTTCTTTCATTTAAAGCCCGGGTTTTATCCACAGAGAATTTTCATTTTGTAATTCCAAATAAAGACTCCCTTCATCCCACACATCACATGCAGATACTCCAGGTAAAAATCAGTTCTGTTTTATCTTGTTCTTTCACGAAGACTCCTATTTATACTGTCTTCTGTTAAAAAATGAAGGTATTAGTGACGGAACTGACAGAAGACTTGTACAGATTACTCAGTTTAAAACAAACCAACCAACCAACCCACCCCAGGCCATCGGCTGAAAAAACTTCTTTCATCCTAAAAGGGATGAAGGAGCTGTTTAAACTGCAGGTATCACGACTTGGCAATAGGTGTTCGGCAGTAGTAAGTAAAACTATGAAGCCAGATTTCACCTTGTGGATGAACTGAATGTATCTGGCCTGACAGCTATTAAATACAAATGGAATTTTCCGTAGAAATTTTGTGAATTGGAAATTTTAATTAATGTACTGCAGGAGTAAAATGATGCTTACACGTACTGCTTTCTCTAAACCGCCTGGTAAACTGGAACTTTTATACACGAATTTAAGTCATCACAAGTATATGATGAGCCAGCTGTCCAATTCTTCAGTCTTCTTTGGATATTTTTTTAAACCATCATGATAAAGCCCTTCAAAATAAGACTAGCTCCTAGTGTTTCCAATACCATTGCAAATCCAGTATTTTAAAGAAAAATAAAAACCAAACAGATTTTGGTATGTTCAAAGACAAACAGACAGGATTAAAACAATCAAGTTTCCCAAAATAAAGTAAGCTAAGATCATGCCTGTCAAAACCACAAAGATTTCTAATATACTCAACATGCACCAGCTAAATAAGGAAATTTCCAGAGTTATATCATAGCCTTGTTGGGGGGCGGAGGGGAGAGGAGGGAGGAAAACAAGTATGACCTAATATTGATGGAAATGTTTCAACAATTTTGTGTCGAAAGACCTTTTCACTATCCAGGGAAAACAGTAAATAAGCGCAATATGAGCTGCAATCTTCTGTAAAAGAGTTAACAACAATTCTGTGCTGGACTCCAGTCTTCACTTGTCAGAGTAAGACTGCAAGTTCCCCAGCATGACACATACAATTTAAAAAAACTAGTCTTTCATGCCAATAGCTTAAAAATCAGGAAAATTCTTTATCTGTCCAAGATTTTATTCAAATCAGTATTTTTGCTAGCCACTGTGTAAACGCTCTCTTCGATTACATCATCAAAGCCACCCTTTAGACTACAAACAGTGCCATCCACAGCAAGCATGCTCTTCTATGACCTCCTAGTCTTACTCACTCTTCCTCCTAATCTGTGTATTCCCATCTGTTGCTTTTCTTCTCAAGCTCATTTTAACATTCATCTCAAAGATGTTATATTACAACAGGTAGTTAAAACAGGCCTTCATTCCCTAATTATGTGGTCCAAAGTTGTAATTTTAAAATAAAAGTTCAACATACTAATGTTAACTTTGTTCTTCTGAAGTATTTTGAAAGCACATTTAATTTTCTGACATTCTCTCCCTAAATTTTAATGCAAGAGGTTTATCTGGACACGCAGATGCAAGCTGTACCTCCCTAGCCACCATTCCATCACAAGGTTCTGTTCAGCATATATTCCAATTCAGGGGCAGGGAAGGATGCGCTGGTGTCAGAGAACTGCTTCTGAGCCATTCCCAGTGCACGTACTGCCGCTAACGTTTCTGTCCTTCAAGCCCAGCTGAAGCTGTTCAGGACAAAACTCTGAGTTCAAATGCAGCAAGCAGCACATTTGAAATATTTAGAAAAAGAAAATCCCAACCCAAAGCAAGCAGCCTTTCTTCTCCTATAAATAAACTTTCCTACCTTGACTCCTCTTCCAGCAAAAATGTTACTGGCTATCGAAGACTGAATCAATTGGTTCAAGAAGGAAAAGTAGTAGTAGTAATTCTAACACTACTGCAACATGCCTATTGGCTCAGTTGTCCTTTCTTCTTACAGGTTGTGGAGGGAAAAATGAGTATTTGAGTGCTGAGATACTTAATTCTGAAAGGTTCAAGGAACAAGAAAGCCTAGCATTTAAAAAAAAAAAAAAAGGCAAGAGCATATATTCTTCAAGCATCTTCCAGCAATTAACCCAAGCTGCTTATGCTTTTGGAATCACTCACATGCACAACAGTCCCACACTTCACAAACCCATCAGGTTCAGAACAGGATTAGACAAATGCCTGGGCATCAAATCCATGAACACTAAAAAGCCTAAGTAAGGATATGCTTTCTAACCTCCCGCGTGACGAGTCCGGACACTGCAGGGTTACGAGGGGAACGGATCACAGAACGTGGCACGGCTTCCCTGAAACAGCATCTGCAATCGCCAATGCCATGCACAGAACACTGGACTTCCTAGACTAGTGGTGTGATCAATCAGGATATTAAGCCCCAAACTGAGTTAACCAAAGGACATTCAGCAAGCTAATAATACTAGAAGTCCCTGGCCACTGCACATAAACTTAAGAGAAAAAGGTCACCCTGTCACAAGGAAAAAAGCCATCACAGAACAGAAAAAAGATTGGCGTTGTATCTTTACCTGTAAGGAACAATGAATACATACTGGTGAGTTTCCAAAGATGTTGGTTTTGAGGCCTCAAGTCCAACTGCCCTCCGTTACTGATAGAATACTACTGATACAACTGTGCTTTGGAAATTATGTCTTATTTCCAAACACTGATTAATTCTCGAGAAGGAGAAAGCTATTTTGGCTTCAGATCTTTAACATCCTTCAGTATAGGCCATGAATGAAGTTAAGTGTAGACCAATGTTTTCAGTGAGTTAAACGACAAAGATAGGAAATCTTTCTAAGTATGACTTTTCAGATTCAGGATATGTAGCATTTAAACTCAGAACATTCCCAACTTCTGAAGAATTGCAAAATCTCAAGTTATTCTAAGCCACTGTTCAATATAATTTCCTTTCCTACTTCCAAGCTACCTGAATCTGCCCAGAATCACGCTTTACCAGAGAGTAAAAGTGAACTTTGGCAAAGAATTCCATACTACATTCGAATACCAAATAAACACGAAAACACAGTACAGTAAATCTAATTTGTGCTCCAAATTAGACTTACCACACTTGGGCACACAGCATCATCTTTAGAGAACAAAGCAGAAATTTTTATTGTACATGGTATAGAGCTTTTTCAATGAACCTATAAAATACGACCGCAGTTGTTGGCAAAAGCAAAATACTTCTGTACATATAGACTGAATTGTTATGAATGCAGAAGTAAAGAAGTTATTCCCAAAATGTGAAGTCACCCACATTACATATCCCATATGCTACTGATACTGCTACATGAAGTATAGATGTAAGGAGAAACAAATACTATATGCTTATGTTGCTAAATTAGTTTTGCTCCAGCTCCACTTTCTGACTCATATAGCCTCTAGAAGGTTTTATATTCTAAATTTGTCACTTACAGAAAATATTTAACTTCTGCACCAATCTTTCATGTCGAAAACTTAATGTTCCAATTTATCTCAAGGTCTATACCTGGAAGTCTTGTAACTTCCATGTGCCCTCTAATCAGCTCTAACTGCAAAAAATGACCATTTGACCCAGTTTAATCAAATTATAGCTTTCTGTATTCTAGCTTGTGATGTACAATATATATTAATATAAAGATCAATCAAGATACTGCAGACAGAAAAAAAGGGCAAAGACCCAACTATGACAATACAAATTTGCCTGCTTTTTCAAATCCAAAGCAGGGGAAAGAATCTGGTGGGTTTTTTTCTCTTTTTCCTTAGATAAACTCTAGCTTCTATATATTTGGAAGAGAGGGAAAAAATAAAGTGCCTCCTTCATAAAATGGCCCCTGGATGAAGGTCACCTGTACATAAACATCCACTCTGAGGCCCAGAAGCCAGTGTTAAGTTTGCAGCCTTTTCTCTCTACAGAAGAAGTCAACACTCCATAGCATGAGAGAGAGTCTTAACAAGCAATTTAACTATGGGTCTGTTGTCTGTTTGGAAAATACCAATATAAATGCTGCAGAAATTGCAGTGAAATCACTCACTTTTGAAACACCCGGTGAATAAAAAGGGAGTAATGGGAAAGCCTATCTAGACTGCATTTTAATGAAAATGAATGTGAAGGAAAAGATGGGTGATGGCAATTAGAAAAAAACCTCTGGTTCTTAGGAAAGGACAGGAGAAGAGCAGAGCAGAATGACCATTCAGAAAGGAAGCTTCACCAAACTCTGTATTGTGTTAGAATCCTATACGAATTAAATTGGAAAGAAAGATACTAGATTCAGTGTTTCCTGAAGGAAGCACAGTAAGAAACAAATCTGTCCAAATCAGATTGTGGCTGAGCTGGAAGAAATCACACAGGAAAAAACAAACAAACAAACACAAAATTAGAAATACCCAGCAAATAGAACAGCAGAATCTTGGAGGGGCAAACTAAAAAAAGCCAACATACAAAATGCGATGCAAAAAGCATGGAACAAAAAAGACAGCCTATACAATAGGTTAGATGTAGGAGGAAGATAACAATACCCAGCTTTAAAAAGGAAGAGAACCATAGATTGGATGAACCTAAATTTCTGGAATTCAAGAAAAGGTAACAGAAAACTATTTCTGGGCACCTAGGAAGTAGCACTGGCTAAGTGACTTTGTCAAGAAAAATACACTCCGAACAATCCTGTTTTCCTTCTGTAATGGAGCTATAGTTCCCAGGACACGCAAAGTACAAGATCCATCATACAGAAAACAGTGTCAATTCTCAATTAAAGAGATCTTCAGTTTTTGTGCCTAAGCCCCTCTGTGACAACTGTACTGCACATACGGTACATTTGATCTGCACACATGAGGTTAAGTCTGATAACGGTCAAACCTTCTGATGGCTACGTTTGGGAAGACAGATTTGCAAGAAGAGAATTGCTCTAAGTAGGAACATGCGTCATCCCCTGTCCATATTTACAAGGCCCACAAGAATAAGCCTGTCTGGTGACAACAGAAAAAGGCTGATGAGTTGGCCTTCAAAATGCAGATCAGACATTCCTTTTCTAGATCAAGCAAATGAGCTGTACACTCAACATAATTAAAAACAGCATTTAATGAGTGTACAGTGATTACCAAGGTTTCACTATGAATTCAGCAAAAATAGTGTTTCATGGTAATTTTTATGGGCTTGGTAATTTCCAATAATTTTGCTAATGATAAAAATCATTGTCGTGATGGAACAGGTTATGTGTTAAATCTGCAAATGATAGGAAGTTAGCAAGGCTGAAAGCATTTCATCCTACAGGAATAAAATTCAAAATGGTCTCAACAACCTGACCAAATGATCTCAAGAGAGCATTTTATTAAGGGCAAATGCAAAACAGGAATAGCCAGCTGCACAACTAAGACAACTGGAAAGCTGTACATAGCTGTTATTACAAAACAGTCCGTAGGTCATCCTTCATCCCAAGCAAGAAGCGGAGAAACACACACACACGCACAATCCTTTGTGCGTGTTGGGAAAGGCATTAGCAGTCCAGTACTATCTGTCCTACCTCAATTTTTTCTTTGCTACAATTAAAGTTAATGCTCCCATTCATAGAAGCTTAATATTTCAAGAGACTGTTAAGAACAGGTTAGACAACCTTCACGTATCATTTGTCTACAGTTTCTCCTACTCTGGACAAGGGATGTGTCGTATCTTTTAAAAATACCTTTTTCTATTATTCTTCCTGTAAGCAACAATCATTCAATGAAGTACTTATAACAACAGAAAGAGAAGAGAGCATGGGGGGGAGCAGAAATCCCTCCAAGGACCAGCTTCAAAAGATGCTTCAGATATGCTTTATAAGTGAAAAGTGATAAAATCCTGTTTTCTCCTGTCTCCATCTCCACCCCAGGGCCATCTGGAACAAATAAAAGAATGTCTGCACTGCCAAAGAATCTTAAAGGTGCATCTTAAAAGAAAAAAAACACAACAACCAAGAATAGTAGAAGGTAAATTCAGACAGCTGAGTGCTTACAACAGTTTTGGGGCAAAAACCAGTTCTACAAAGAACCCATCTGACTTAATATCACTTCTTCCCTCCCACCCAGTTACACGGTTTATAAACAACAAGAGGCATACACTGAAGTATTTTATAACCTAAACTTTACACATCACTTTCACAGATCATAAATAAAAAGTAAAAAGTGTCTGAGGGACACAAGTCAGACACTCCTTGCCTAAGGCTGCTGGGAAAGAGCTGTCAACACAATATACCTGTTCAAAGAACAGTCTGATAATTGTCTTCCACAGTCATATTACTAACTGACATTTAAACTTGCCAAATGAAAGATGCAGGATTGTTTCTCATCTGAAAAACGTACAGTCTCAGTAATATTCACCCTAAGAAACAGCACTTAAGAAATCTAAAATGCTAACCCCTTGATAGGAAGAGTGCGCAGGATATACGTTAGATTTATTTTCAGGCACATACAGGGTTAGTGTACACGTATCATGAAGATGTGCTGACTCTTCTGAACTGCATTAAACCTGCTTGGAGCACAATATGTAGATGGCTAAAGAAAAAAATCAGTAACTAACGATCCACCATCTGCAACACGACATGGCATTTTAAAAATACTGATGTACATGGAAACTTATATTGAATGTAAGTACAAATATGGAACAAAACACTAAATATCACTGTTCTTACTTCCACTAATTACACACATATAGGAAAGCAAAAAGTTATTTCATTTAAAGTCGCATAAACAGAAAGCTCTTAACTTTTAAAAGTTACACAGTCCCTCTGCAACAGTTTAAGTGTTAGATTTAGGAAGGATTCCTTTGCTGAAAACAAACATGGAGTAATTGGTATACAGAAAAGCGAATAAAATTAAGACACAGCAATCAAAATAGTTTTACTTTATATAATGGAAGTTTCTCCTATATCTAACACTGCACAAGGTATCTTGCACAATGAAAAGGTAAGCAGAAGTCCCTTACACTGCCTCGCTTTGCCAGAGAATCACCGTAGTCTGCTGGCAAAGTCCGCTTGCTGGACTTTTTCTGCTCATGTTCAACTGCATCTTCAATTATAGGCTCAAGCCTCATCTGGACAAACACCAAAGATTTGGATCAATTTCTTTTCATTATACAGTGAGGAAAGATCTAAAAGCCTTTTAAAAACTTCTGAAATCTTTAGAAAACCGCATAGAACTCACTGATGTTTAAATAAAAAGAAAATACAAAAACCTACTGAGGCTCTGGCCTTAAATTCAGTAATCTCCAAAAAATAGATGTTGAAGCTCAAATTTGGCAGATAACAAAATTCTAGATTCCACCCCCCGTTTTTTTTATTTTTGCTTTTCAGCTGCAAGGTTTTTAGATCTGTACCAAAAGACTTGCTCTAGGGTTCAGTACAGTCACTCAAACAGTGTTCAGGCCTACTGTGTTTTAATACAAGCATCTACCGAGTACCTAAATGAAAGTTTACTGAACAAAATCTTAAAATTTAATGTTGCTGTTCACTGGACAAGTTTGGCAAATAAAAAGCATATCTTTGTGTAGAACTAATTCTTCCCCAACCCTTCCAAGACTGCAGCTAAGTAATACGCTGTCTCTATGTATTTCCTCCTCAGTCAGCAGATGCAATTCTATTTTGTTACCTCTGTAAGAACTGTGGTGTCATATGAAGGCTGATACTTTTCTTTTTCATGTGCAGTTCGCTTTTCCATCTTTTCTCTGTCTGTTTTCTGTTTCCTGTCTGCTCCTTTTGGCTAAAAATGAACAGTTACATGAACAAGAACGCATGTGGAAAATGGTTTTATAATTGAAATTGGATCTCAGAAGTCAAGCAGTAACATAAAGATGTCCCCCATCTTTAAGAGAGCTTCTGAGAGAATTATTAAGGATCTGTTTTCTACTGTTACCTTAAAAACTTTGATCTGACAACTGGCTGAATGCAGATGATCTGTATATTCTCCATTTTCCGTCTGTTTAAAAGTGTCAACCTGAATCCTAAAAGGAACTCCTTTCTCTCCTCCGTGTTTACGAGGGGTAAATTCAGTGCTGATACAATGTACCTGAAAAAAACCAACCGCCGAACAAAAAGGACCCTCAGAAGTATTCTAGAAATGAATTTCATTATGTGTTACCAACATCATATACATTTTCTAAGGACAAGTAACAAATTACCCAGCCTATCTGAGGACCAAGCTGCATAACTAACATTTCCTTCCTTTTCATGCCCACATGTAAATGAAGCCAAAAACATTATACTTGAGCTGACAGGCAAGAGGAGAAACAAGCAAGTGTGTCACCAAAATCTCTCCAAAAAGCAGAAGTCATTATAGATTTTTATTAAATGAGAACGTGCTGGATCTTGAGAAAAATTTACGTGGAAGACAACTACATCTACCATGAATATAGCAAAAACTTTTTCAAAATACTATTGTCCAATGCATTATAGCTAGAATAAACTTCAGAGTTACTTGTAATAAATATTACCAAAGCTACAGAAGGTCACTGACTGGAAGAGTTTATAATCTCATGGGAAATCAGGGTATTTTCAAATATGCCAACTTCCTATAAAAGTCAGCAGACTTTTTAATCAGTATGTAATTGCCTCAAGTGCTACATCAGAAGACTGGGTTTATAAGCTAGAAGTACCCCTAAAAGATATCTAAGGAGAAAATCCGTGTAATTTTTAAAGAGTTATGATGAATCTTACTGGACAGTGCTCCCAATTTTTTGGCTTCATCATGGAATGTTAAGCGAGCCAAGCACCACGGATACCTCACACTCTCAACGACTCCAATACTATCTTTTTCTTCCATATGGTCATTAACAACAAGAGAACCACAGGCTGGAAACTGAAACTTTAAGTGTGTAAATCAGTGCCACTAGGCTGTGTTCTCTAGCCTTTAGAATAAGTGAACTATACTTGTGTAACAAGAATCAGTTCCATTTTCAGTCAGTCTGTTACCGTTTCTTCCAAGGAACTGCATAAACAAAAACATGCAGTAGTTTATCTCGTACTCCTTCAAGGAGACTACATTTTAGTAACTATGTGATTCTTACTAGAAAAAAATGTCTTCAATTGTACTCGACTGAAGTTATTTTACTGACAATATGGAATTTAACCTATTTTGGCAGCCTCAGTATGAAATGCTGCTACCTCAAACTTTATACTGATACCTTTTTATTTTAGAATAAACACAGATCCGAGACAAAATTCCAATGCAAAACTGAACATTCTATCTAAGTAATTTCCAAAGAAAGCATGTTCAATTGCCCTGAACGTCAAGTACATAAATCATAAAAATCCTACTACAAGGAAGCCTATTGACATAGTAAGATTCATCTTTGAATGTCTGATTTAAAACTGTCTTTGTAGGACATCATTTTTCATTTTGTATCCTCAAGCCAAGCCTCTGCTGAAGCTCAACACTAGGAGAATGGGCCTCTCAACTGAAAAAAATAGTAGTAGCGACATTTATTTAGAGGGATATAAATTAATTCTAACACTCCATATAACTAAATATTTTAACCATGATAGCTTTCTTCAAAGAGCTTTTTGAAAGCCTTTTATTTACATGTTTTTAAAATATGCTCTTATAAACTCAAATCAAGCTGAAAAACCTAACTAGGGACCCTTGTAAAACTATGCACCTGTGTTTTTTTACAAAGCTGGTATTTAATGGCTATCCCACAAACAAGAAACCGAGAAGCTTCATTTCATAGCGCAAATATACTACTTCTTGTGACCTGAAAGGCACCAAACACAGACATCCAGTCAAGTAAAGTTTCAAACCTGAATAAAAGCAGATGTACATTTTGTTGGATCCCACAAAAATTCAACTGCATTGAGCTGGCTTGGATTTGTCTTGATATCAATGACTCCAACAGACATTGGAATATCTATTAAAATAAGTAGTATACATTTCAAAATTATCATATTTCAAGAAAACACTACAAATATTAATATAAGGTTACCATCAGCAAACACAGGTAGGGTAGAAAAATGTGGGCTTTGGTGGCTTGACCATAAGCCCAGAAACAGTTTTTTAGGACTGATCTGAAGAATCTTAGTATATTCGACATACTAAATGCTCAGGGTTTGGGGGTGCTTTTTGATTCCCCTCCTCCCCCTGCCCCCCCAGCTTATGCACCAAAAATGATCAAGTTACACAAAATACAGAAACTATGTCGGTGCCATTTCCACAAACTACTGAAGAAAGTTACTTTTGTCCATGTTCTCCTAATTACTGTAACATTAAGTAATCAAAATTAGAAAGATTATTAAATGTATAAAGTTGCAGAGCTACTATCTTACTTCCATAGCACTTACAGGTTTTAAAGGAATGTGAAAGTGGTAAGAACATTTATATTCAAAATGCACAGTATGACAAAGCAGCATACAGAAAATGGGTCTGTGTTTTTTCACCAGCCCTAACATAAACGTGACCATGATCAATTTAAATTTGGGGACTGAATTTCATACAGTGACAACAGATAGAAACAATTATACCTAAGTCGAGAAGTCTGTCCCCAGGGCGGTTCCACTTCCAACCTTCTAGCTGCTGATGCTCTGTATACTGCAACCTTCTGTCATGGAACACAACTCTTATAATACTCTAACAAAGAAGAAAACAAGCATCTGATGAGCCACAAAGTTACTATACGTTTAGAAACAGCCTGAAGACAAAGAACTAAAGCATTCCAAAATAGCCACAATGCTGATAAATACGTATTTACAGCAAAAAATCTGGCAACCATCAGTATCCCAAAATATTCCAGAACACAGAAATAAATAAAGAAAAATCCAAACCCCTCCCCTTCATCAGTTCTTTCAATAATTTGTACCATGAATTGGACATTTTTCAGTCTGCCTCATTCTTACACTTCATGCAATACCCACAGTACCTTCTGCTAACATTAAAGCACAAGGAGACAAATCTGGAATTAGGAAAAGGAGCAACTGTGCAACAACCTGCTCAATGAGCAGCAAAATTAGAGAGATCTGTTTTCCTATGGATATAATTCCAATATCCTACTGTTGCAAAAGCCACAGGTTGGCTCCATGTGTCTTGCACAACACCTATTAAGAACCACGCTCATAACGTCTCCACTTCTTTCTAAATAAGCCTCTAGCTTCTTTCCACATCTCCTAATCACTTGAAATGGACAGTGAAATAGCTCAGAAGACACTAGATACAAATCTATAGACAACTAGGTATCTTAAGCTTTCCATAAAATAATTTGGTCTTCAGTACACACAAGCACTCTATGCACTGGTATTTACATTCATACTTTTTTATTTGTAAACATCACTGGTCCACATTCATTCTGAACAAATATCTAGTGATAGCAGAAAAAAAAAAATCATCCGCAAAATGTAGTCTCTAGATTGGATTTCTCTCACCTAACTTTAGATACCTAAATTTGAGATCACTGTTACCACAGCTTCCTTTTACTCAGCAGAAAGACATGGGCACATTCAGTAGAGATTAATCTCATCTTAAAACAGATCAGACTGCAGACCTCATAAAGGGTACACGAAGTGATTAGCTCACCTTTAGTTATCTAAAGTTACATGAAACGAACCCATTCATAAATGGGGAAAAGCATAGCTGTATATTCTTTTAATTTGTAGTAAACCTGAAATAACAGTTATGCATCAGGTTCCACTGTGCATATTTTCTTTATTGGTGAGATCAGCCATTCCGCCTCCCTCCATGAACCAGAGTACAAGAAAAGGTGAAGAACTACTCTTTCCATATGCAAGCAGCAGAGGTTTGTTAGTAACACTAGATAGAGAACTTCAATTCACCTTCACCAGTTTTCCATTGATCTCTGGTATGTCTCCAGCTTTCCGATTATCTAGCATCCGTATCTCATAGGACTGACCTTTAAAAAAAAAAAAAAAATTTTCTATCAGTAGACGAGTCAGAGCACAAAGGTATTTGGTGTTTAGCGTACCTGAATTAGTTTTTGGTTCACAGTACACAGGAATAGTGGTGCCTGAAACTTCTGTTTAAGACACTTTTCTAACAGGGTTCACACCACAGCATGGAATTAATGGAACAAAATGAAACTTTTTGGTCCCTTTAAAACTACAGATACTTTCAAAGTATTTACAAGTATTTCATACTCGCCTCTGGAAACGACAAAAAATGGGATAAATCCGTGGGTCCTGACAGGATGCACCTACTGTCATTTCCAGAGGCGAGGGAGGTTTTATCACATGGTAATGACTACATTCACATTATTTTACCCAGCAGTGTGTGCCCTCTGTAGAAGGAAAACTGAATTTTCATGCAAATCAATCGCAGGCTATGAGGAAAAACCAGCAGGACTCACATAAAGCAATTATCTAGTTAACTCCTGATAAATGTAGACAGACAATAACAAAATACACCCAAGCTCCAGAGGTAACTCCAAGGGTAGCTGCGCTCGTGTTTACGTTTCAAACATAGTACTGTTCTGGGCAGGTATGTATAGCTAATCTCAGAGCGATTACAGTGGCCTCTATTGTGCAACACTTTTTGTTTAGGGATTGACATTTTAATATTTATTATGACTTTCTGGGGGTGTTTGTATGTACCTTATGCAAATATCATCCAGTTAACATGCTATTATTAATCAAGTTTAAACAGGAATGCTTTTTTAAATTAGCCTGGTATTTCAAGCTATTACTACCCAAAGTTTGTCTCCTAAAAGCTCTGGCGGCTTGATTTTATAGGGAGAGGTGGGAGATGGAAAGGGGTAACACAGAGCAGAGAAAAACAAAACTAAAAAACCCCCAGACTCTAATGGGGAAGTGATGACCGATGATAGCTATGAGTCTGTCAGCTGGACAAAACAAGACTACTAGTAAGGTGTCCAACCTCATTTTCAACATGCATTCACTTTGGATGTACCCACACGTATCAAAACACGAAATACAATTCCAGCTTTAGACTTGCACCACAAGCCGCGTTCACTATAGTTATGCCTGCAATGTATGTGTACCAACCTTGATTCAAGTATGTAAGAGTTTCATCATATAATTTTACTGCTGGAGATGTCGCAGCACACATAACATACTGGAAGGGTGGATGTTTGGTCTCATTTTCTTGTGGAAGGCTGGAATCTTCCTGTTTGAAAATAGGCAGTGCCAAAACATCACTGAAAAGAAGAAACAAATAACTTTGTGAGACTCTTAGCCCTGTTTTGCCTGAAGTTAAATAAAAAAAAAAAAAGTTGTTTGTTACTTAAAAAAACACAGCGGAATACACACAGAATTGTGTCACTCAGTTTATTAGTGAAATCAATTCGAGCAGTATCCAAAATATCTTCCACCAAAATCTTAGACTAGGATACATAAACAATGGTCTGGGACATAAGCAGACAATAAATAAAGTTGTGCTGATCCTCTGAAAATTTAATCTTCAATTCTTGTCCAAAATAAAAAAAATTCAGTTTACTCTTAACTTTTCACCTATCAATACAGGCAAGCCTGCCTAATACACATGCAGCCGAGAGCAATGCATTTACTTTCTTCTTCGAAATAATATATTCCCCAAAATAAGTTACTTACACTTAGTTTGTGTAGTAATCTTACTCTCCATTTAGTATCACTATATTTAACCTACTAATTCTGTTGACATTGAAGATTTTTCAATCTTAACTTTAGCACACTGAATAGCATAAAAATGATTACGCAGCAGATTCACAAAACATTAAGGTACAGAAAGTCTATGCCAAGATTCACTTCACTTATAGACATATGACCATCAGAAAAACTTTGGAATTTCAAAGTTTCTGAAGAGTAAAGAGCAATCCATACTGTCCTCAGTTAGCAGTAAGAAAGACAGCTTCACCACAACCAGCAAACACATCTTCTGCTTTCTACAGAATTAAATATTCTGTATTAGCAATAAATTTATTTTCCTTGTATGCAGTAATCTTTCATAAATAAAACTTCAAAGAGATTAGTGAATTCTGTTCAAAGATACGTGTTTTTCTTGAACTGAATTTTTGTTCATGATGAAATTATCTGCAGATCCATGAAACTTTCTTTGAAAGTTAGTTTCTAATCTGAAGTAAGATTTCTCACACCACCTCACCTGTTGATTCAGTTCTCAATCTACATGCATCTTTTGTTTATTGCATTGATCACAATCATAGATTTAATATATTTTGTAAAAGAATTACAAATGTCTTATCTGTACTGAACTATTATTTATATTTTGTACCCTAAAATTTTTGAAGAAAAATTGTTTTTTGCTGTTCCTCGTTTCTGTGAGATCCCGCTTTATTTAGAGAGAACTCTGTTAATTCCTCCTGAATTCCAGCTCACATCTGGAGAATCAAAAAGTATCAGTATCATAATCAATTTACAAAGTGAAATCGCAGCCAGTATCTTTGTGTCACAGAAGGTTATAGTATAGATTTGGTCTATGTACGTATTGGGTATGAGAAGTGCAGCTGAGGCACCCCAATTTTTCTTTCACAGCACGTACCACGTACAGTAAGGTAAAGGCCAGCCACACCACACTGCACTGCCCTGGCCACCTGGAAGAAGCTATATTGACCTGAAAGAGCAAATACTTCGGAACAGTGAAGACATCTAAGTTTGTCTATACCTTCCAGAGAGACCGTACAATCTCTCCCAACAACTAGAATTAAGAAAAGAACCAAGAAAAGACACCCATACAGGTTCCTTTCCACTAGGAAGAAGCCACAGGAGATGCTACAAAGAGGCATGAAAGCAGGACAAGGCAGGATACTGTCCAAAAAAGCAGTACAAGCCAGCTGAACCGTACCTTACCTACTTCTGGTGCCAGCTCCCCAAAGGGGAGCCCAGGGACAGCTGTATTCCTTAACTAGTTATGACGGAAGATAACGCGAAATACCCACTTAAGAGAAGCAGCCACTCTTAAAACAGTTTACTTATATAGACAAAAGGAGCATCATATCCAGAGGTAGAATAGAAAATTTCATAGACGGGTGGAACGCTACTTGAGGATGACCGGGAAGAAACACCGAGCTGCTCCATGCCTTGGTGACAGTGGGCAGCCCGGCACAGGAGGGGGCACGGCGATGGGCAGAGAGAAGCATCGTCCCAAGACAGGACGTCCTACACCAGGAACCCACGCTCGTCACACTCTCTGGCACCTAAAACAGTAACTAGTGTTTTTACGAAGAGGAACTTTAAAACGGAAAGAACACGGAAACAATAGCAATATTTAAAATACACACATGAGAGTGGAAGCGCAACAAAGGCGGCATGCAAAGTATCTCACCTAGTCAAGAATTACAGGTTATTTCTTAAGTTTCGCAGCACTTGCTCTCACATAATACACAAGATTAAAGAGAAGTCTTTTGTGTATTTATGAAAAATACCTTTCAAGCCTTCTTTTTCCACCCACAATTTAAAGATGAAAATGCATCTGATCTGGCTTAAGAACGTGTGCCGTGGTTAATGAACTAGTTACATTAACGGACAAGGCACTGGAAGCCAACAAATACAAATGGAAGACAAATTTAGCCAGCTTTAAACCTGCTTTTGCTAATATTTACAAAGTGGTAATGACTAACTGCCACTGTGGGGGAAAAAAAAAAAGACACCCAACTCCGCAACCCTACAATTTAGTTGAAACAAAAGCATAATGTGCATTCTTAAATGCCACCATTCCAAAAAAACCCACCACCAAACCCACAAAAAAACCCAAAACGCTCCAGCAAATAGCATGAGGCAAATCTAAGAATCTTCATTTATTTTCCCAGCTAAAAACATACTTCTTTTTTTGTAAGAGATTCTTCTAGGCACTAATACATTCCAAAGGAAAAGAGAAGCCAATGCAATTTAAAACTCTTTCCTATACCGTCTTTAAATAAATACTATTTAAACAACATTTTCATTTGTTCACTCATAAAGAACAAAATATCAAGTGTTTTCACATTTAAATGTACACTTGTTTCCATCTAAAAAACCAGATAAATGCTGCAGGCAATTAAAAAGGTATGAATAGAGTATTTCAAACAAAGACTTCAAAGTGTCAGGGATAAAGAAATGTTAACTGACTTAGAAGCAGTTATTAACTCCTCTTAAAAGAAAGTGATGTATCTTTTCTGACTTCCAGCAAGGAACGTGCTATGAAGCAGCTGGTCTATCCTTCCATCACCGTGGTACAGCAACAGAAGGTGACCAGTTTTATTCGATACCCGTGAGCCTACGGCTCAGCAACACAAAAGGTCTCCTGGGCAGTACCAGCATAAAGAACTTCTGCCACGCAAGCTTCTTCCCCTTGACACAATATTTTTCTGCGCTAGGCTGGGATCTGTCAGCTCACAGCAGAGCCCAACACACAGCTACGCAACTGAGGGTGGTAAAACCTTACCGTAGAGAAACCCCCATCCTACCAAACATAACTTGAGGGCAGGCATGATGAGTTAAGCCCATTTCTCTCCTCATGACTGGCAGTAACAGGGATACAGGAATCAGGGTAGAAAATTCCCAATGTCTCTATTTACCTAGGAAATGATCAGGAACATGCCGCTCTGAGAAACACGAGAATACAAAGAGCATTCCTCCCTGTTCTCTGAGGTCAAAATCCCCTGTTGATCATCCTTACGTTAGTTCAAACAAGGACCACCTACATTTCACAGTGATGAGCATTTTCTACAAAACCAAACTCATTGCCCACACAGCACAGCTGAAGAGAAGACTAATTTACTTCACCTGTCTCATCTAAGTGAACTTTGGGCTATTAGAGGCAGCTTAAGGTATAAGTGAATAACAATGTTTTGAAGGAGAAGTGGTATCTTTTGTTAGACTTCTTGATATAACTTGAAAAAGCAGATCAATCAAGGTTTACTCTCCTGATGAAAGGAACTCTGATACCAAATTTTTGAAACTATTAGCTCTAGTAAGAAAAGTCTTCTCTCAGTCCCTCACAATTTATCTAAAGCATTCAACTGAAAGCATTCTTTCTTCCTAGAGGGAGGAAAGAATTTTCCCAGAAAAACAAACAGAAAGAGTCTTCACAACACACCAAAAGCAGGCAGTAAACACATCTCCAACACTCAACCTTAGCTAGCTATGCTACAGAAGAAGTGCATAAATGAAACTTCACCACAGAAAAGTAGGAAGGCTCAGAAGAGGAAGCAAGGTGCATGGTAACACTTGAACCAAAGCACCCAGTGGGATGGATCATGTGTGATAAGCTGTCCTGTGTTACGTAGCCTACATGAGCATACTACAAAAAGACCAAGAAAAACATACTATATCCTTCTCCCATGCTTGTGAAATGCTTGTCAGCCACAACATCACTTTCCTTCCAAATTTAAAACTCTCTTTTCAACACTTCTTCTGAAGCATTAAAACAAACAAACAAACGAACACCTGCCTAGTAATAATAGGGTCACAAAATAAACGAAGAACGTCCTGTCCTTACAAGAACAGGAACTAGTATGTCACCAAAATTCAAAGTGACGTTCCATCAATCATCTGCCTTATCTGCCTTCTGGATTGTATACTTTTGGGTGTGAGCAGTAAAGCACCCAAGAACATGCAGGTCTTTTGAAACTTTAAGGCATGGTTTACAAGGACAAATACCTTGAGAAAAATGTTTCTCAAGCAATATTTGAATTAAGAGTTATGATCTTAAAGCCAAGCTCTGCACTGTTAAGAGGTCTGAGCAAGCCACAGGAAAACGTAAGGGAACGGGAGAGCTGGTGGGAATGCTTCCTAACGCTCTCCCTGTGTCCGCAAAAGCAAGTTTGACGTGAGACGAGACCCCTGGAAGTATTTGCTGGAGGACAGCCTTCTCTGAAGCAGCTGTTGAGAAGTGCAACAGGAATGAGGAGACAGGTGCAAATGTGCTGCTGTGCCTGGGAACCCCACCAAGCATCACGCGGAAACTCAGCGCGTTAAAGGCCTCGACTCACAGGGAGCCTGGCACAAAATGGAAAAAATGACCAAAGAAAGAACAGAAATCCCACCACCAAAACCTGGGTCTTCCTAAGCTCTTGAGGGTACCAAGGAAAAGCTGTAAGAGCAGTATTTGTTCACAACTACAAACCCCCGGTTCTCCATGCACTCCTCCGACACAGGGAGGTCAGGCAGCAGCTCTAACTCGCAGCACCTACAGTACAGATGGCTCCTAAGTGGGAGGAACACA